AGGCCAATTCCATAACTTGGCAATTGTGTGGATAGTGCTGCAATGATAATATCTCCAAGATAAGGGACATTTTTCAATGGAAAAAAAACAAGGGCTAAGCCTGTGTTAAAGAACATTGTATAAACAAGGTAAAAATAAAAATACATATTTGCAGGGCTGGTGAATGGCTCAAGTGGTAGAGTGCTTATCTAGTGAGTGTGAGGCCCTGAGTTCAAACCACTGTACCACAAAAATAAACAAATACATAAATAAAATTTATTTGCATTTAAAGAGCATTGTGGTTTTTATAGCAATACTGAAAAGTATACAAGCTGAGCGCTGGTGGCTCATGCCTACAACCTTAGCTACTCAGAAGGCAGAGATCAGGAGGATCATGGTTTGAAGCTAGCCTACACAAATGTTCGAGAGATCCTATCTCGAAAATGCCCAACACAAAGACAGGGCTGGCAGAGTGGCTTAAGTGGTACCTGCCTAGCAGTTGTGAGGCCCTGAGTTCAAACCCCAGCACCACTAAAACAATACATACGTACATACATACATATATACATGCATAAATAACTCTGGAGGCTGGGAAGTATATTTGCTTATGCTTGCAGAAGAGACAAAACACAAAAGGCAACCTGGCTTTATAACAACTCCCTCTGGTAGTACCTAATATAGTCTTTTGAGAAAGGCATCGATTTCCTGGAGGACCTAATCACTTTTAAAGGGCCCCTCCCTGTCACTGGGAAAATCCCTTACATTGAGAATCAAATGTCAACATGTATTTGGTGCGGACAAACCAAATCCAAACCGTGCAGCCTCAAATTTAGACAGGCAAAAATTCATTGCTTCCCACCCTAAAGAGGCATTTCCAGAAATTCCATAATAGGAAGAGCAAAGGGGCACCAGTTAGTTGGAAGGGTTTGCTAGCCCTGCAGTGGATTCTGCCTGGGGTTGACCCCCACTCTATCCTCACTAGGACTGCATGTCTATTTGATATGGACTTGGGGGAACATCTGAAGTCCTAATGCTCCACCTAAGTGCCATCTCTGCTACTTTTAGACACATAAAATCATTCCTTGAAAAAATCCAGAAAAAAACCATTTAGAATAAGTACAGGAAGCTGGCAATTCTAGGTTTCCATTACCTCCCATTACTTGTAAGAATCTCATTCCAAATTACGTGGATATGGCAGGGGATGACATTTATCTATCACTTTTTTTTCAATAAGGAAAGCTGTACTAATTATTAGGGCAAATGGAAGTGGGGTTAATCAGTAGGTAATTTGGTTTGCTGAATTGAGGGCCACAAAGGCAGAGTAACATCTTGATGTGGCCCCTCAATATTCCTCTCTCTGGCTCAGACCAGAAGTCACACAGTTAAGACACATGTGGAGTTAGAAATCAGGTGTCCTCACCTGTATTGGGCCTTCTTTCCCCTGGACTCTTTTTGTCAGTCAGTTTGGACAGAAAGCCAACTTTAGTAATACAGAAAACTTACTCCAGGACCACTCCCTGCTCCAACTCCTGGAACATCTACTAAAACCAAACAGCATTCAAATGTTACTTTTTCCTATTATTTAAGTGATACATATCCATTTAAGAAAATTTTGGCTGGGTACCCATGGCTCACGTTTGTAATCCTAGCTACTCAGGAGGCAGAGGTCAGGGGGATTTCGGTTTGAAGCTGGCCTGGACATAGTTCAAGAGCCCCTATTTCGAAAAAAACCCATGTCAAAAAAGGGCTGGTGGGGTGGCTCAAGGTATAGGCCCTGAGTCCAAACCCCTGTACTGAAGAAAAAAAAGAAGGAAAATTTTGCAAATACAGAAAAATAGGGAAAAGAAATCAGACATCCATAGTCCCACACTAAAAAACACCTGTTAGTGTATTTCTGGATACTCCAAATCCAAACATTGAAAGACTCCTAAGAACAATGCCGGGCTAGACTTAGAGCTTTAGTGAGAGCTGGTCAAGAAGTTTAGAATGTCAGGCAACTTTCCTGAGGTCATCCATGAATGACAGAACCAGGAAGACCCCCAAACAATGCCAATCTCTGAACTCTTGTGTTAACTAAGCCACACTATTGTTAGAAATGCTGTTCCCAAACATTGATCAAAGAAACACGTGGAGTCACTCAGCAAGGGAAAAAGAACTGTTTTACTTCTGCAGAAGGCTGCAGCCACAGACCAGAGCCTGACAGACAGAACACACTGAGCGGGGATTCAGGTCAGTTTTTATCACTCTCTGCCCTCAGCCTGATGGATGGGTTTGGGTTCACAATCTTTGCAATTGGTTACTTAGAAAAGGGGGCACATGAGGTAAGGGTGAGCTTGAAGCAGGGAGAACAAGAAAATTCTTTTGAGCAATATTCATCTTTAAGCAAGCAGTTTGAGATTAGGACATCTAGTGATAAACAGCTTTGTTTGCAAGAACTTTGCAAGGTCAAGCAATGTTTCACAAAGCATGTGGACAGCAATTTGGGGAGGTTAGCAGGCATCTACACAGTGATACTCATACATGAACTCCTTTGACAGAAAAGACCTGACTTTAGTTGATTCTCATACCATCTTGCAAAGAATCAGCTGCAGATACCATAGCACTACCTACCCTGGATTTCTTTCCTCACAGAGGAGCTGGGTAAAGACCTGCAGAAGTCTAGAGTTTCAAAGACCAACAACAAGAGGACTTTTCCAAAGCTTTTTCCTTTTTTTAAATTTAGATGTAATGTTTATACAGAAAAGTGAACAGATCGTAAGTGTTTAGCTTTGATAAACTTTTGCTTACTTTCAGATGTCCATGTTCAGATCACTGCATGGACGTTTACAGCACCCCAGATCCAGGGTTGCCAGGAGGCTCCTTCAAACCCCTTGACAGTCGGCACCCTTGCCCCACTCTGACAGATTCTACAGGGGCTTCAAAGCATTTTGAAAGTTTAGCAGTAAGGATAATTAACATTTTCTTTCCTTCTTCTATTTTTTTTAATAAGTTTTTCATTTTGTAGAAATACATTTTTTTTTGACAGTTCTGGGCATTGGAATTAGGGCCTCACACATGCCAAGCACCTAGCTTGACTCCCAGCCCGGGGTAATTTTACCTTTACAGAAAAGTTACAAAGACAGTATACCCATCACAAAATTTCTCATAGTGCTACCACCTTGTGTAACGGTGACACATTTGTCACAACTATTAACTAAGCTCAATTTTTTTTAAGTTTACATTTTTTCATTAACACCTTTATTCTGTGCCAAGATCCCATGGAGAGCACTACCCTTTTTTTTTTGGTGATTTTTGCAGTACTGAGTACTGGTGGGGTATTTTTCCAAATATCCCTCCCTCAGTTGTGCTTTGGCTAATGTTTTCCTCCTGGTTTTTGTGAGGAAGACCACTGGAAAACTGGTGCTGTCCTCACCTCATGCCAAGGTGAGTACGACCAAGTGTAACAAAAGTTGACCACTACAATTTCTTACTGTTAGTTTATTTTCCCCAACCCACTTCCACACTACTTTTTGGAAGGAAGTTACTATGCACAGTCCACACTCAGGGATGGGTGGGAATTAAGACACCCTTCTGGAAGGAGTATTAATAATTACAAGTCCTTTGTAGGGAAGATTTCTCTTTTTCCTCATTTGCTTCTTTAATCATTTACTTGTATCTACAGGGCTCCACGGTACCTTATACTGCCTGTTGTCATTTGATCTTATGTGACTTATTTTGAGCCTTCCAGTTTGGCCCTCGGATGCTCTTCAGGTTGGTTGGGTGTGTGTCACGCACTTCCTTATTCCTGGCTTACTGATGCTAAAGGCTGAGCTTGCCCTTGCTTGTCCAGCCCCATGCTCAAGTAGCTCTCCAAGAAGAGGTGCCCTTTTTCATTAGAGATGGTGTTTAGCGGTCAAGGTCAGGCGCTCATCCTCCTTCCTACCACAGTTCTAAACCTGCGCTTACGAAGATGACTGTCCCCGGGCCTGGCGCCCGCGCCACTACAACTCCCGGCGTGCCCCGCGCACGCGCAGGACGTAGGAGGGGCGGGCGCCTCGGAGGCCAGCGTCCTTGCTTTCCCAGTCCGCTTCTTCCCGGCCGCCGGAGCGCTCGCAGGTAACTGTCCTCTGGCCCGCGTACCCCCCATCTAATGCACTCTCCCTCGAGCTGCCCAGCCTGACCCCTCTGAGAGGACCTCACCTCCAGCCTCTCCGACCCTCCCCCGCGCCAGGCGGCCCCACCCCCACCCTAATCCTCCTCCCCACCCCCCAGCCGCCCAGACCCCTCCAAGGGGACCCCACCTCCAGCCTTTCTGCCCCGCCCCCTTCCGGCGTTCCCCCCATCTCAATCACCCTGCCCAGAGCCGCCCAGCTGCGATCCCTCGGAGGGGACCCCCCCTTCCCGCCCCTCCCCCTACCAGTGTCCCCTCCCATCTTAATCCCCTCTACCCCGACCTTTCCGCCTCTGCCCCTTCGCGGTGATCCACCCTCCTCGCGATTCCTCAGGTCCTCTCCTCCCGCCTAGGTCTCGTCCCTTGTCTGGGCGTCGGCCCCTGCAGAATGACCCTGCGGGTGTGGCCGGCCCTGGCTTTCCTGGGGCTGGAGAGCGCCGCGTACGTCCGCGGCAGGGCCCGCGCCCACCTCCGGCCTTCGTCCCGCCGCGCTCGGCTGCAGCCCTCGGGCCTCCTGCGCCTTCGCGGGTGGGGCCGCTCCGCCTCAGCTCCCCTGCCCTTGCATCCTTGCAGTCTTTGGTGTCAGGTGCATGCCTGTACATTATTGTACATCGTTTTTCATATGGTACTCCGTTACCCAACTACGGCGCTCAGGGGTCCAGGAGTTTTTTAATTTGTGTAAGCCTAAGGTGTTTTTTTTTTTTTTTGTGGTACTGGGGCTGGATATTTTGGTTATTTTTGAGATAGGGTCTCATGACTATATGCCCAGGCTGGAACCGCCATCCTTCTGATCCGTGCCTCCTGAATAACTAGGATTACAGGCGTGAGCCACTGGCTCCCGGTCTGATTGTTTTGTATATTTAAATCTCAGGTTAAATCTCAACACTTTACAAAGAGGAGGCTTCCCAAACGAGCAAAGAGTGAATTTACATTGTTTCAAGGTGGGCTGAGGTAAGGAATGAGGTGGATTATGAAACCTGAAAGAGAATGTGTTAGTTCAAAAGATTGCCGGCTCCGGAGACCTTTTCACTTCTTTTTGGTGCCCCCATTTGACTTGGAAACGAAGGAGCCAACGCCCAAGTGAGAATTCTTACCTGCTGTGGCCTCCTCTGGCCTTGGAAAGAACCAAGTGTCCATGCAGGAAGTAACAAGAGGAAGTCCCTGAGCTAGGACTGTTAACTGCCTGTTTACTTATGACCCTCAGTATTTGCTGAGCATATCAATAACCAAAACTTGTATGCACAGATTCGTGTGTTGTGTGCCTTAGCAGTGGGCATACCTGCTTAAGGCCCTGCATATGCTTGGGAAGACCGCTGATGCTAGTTCCCTGTGGAACTAGGAGTGATCCCTGGGTCCAGAAAATTCCTGGTCTGAAATGTGAACTGATGGGCCCCCAACCCTTCAGTCATGTATGGTTTTGAAATATTCCTGGGACATCTTCTTGACTCATTACTGTTTGTAGAGAACAGTTATTTCCATAAGGAGGCAACTTTTACTGCAAAATTGAGTGAGAGTGCTAGAGAGAGACTGAGGGCCTGTGAGCTGAATTCCAGCTCTTGAAACAAGACAGTAATGCAGTTACACCCATTCTTACCTTTTGGAGTCTCTGCTTCAGGGCTCTTTGGACATCTGTCATTTAGTCAACTCAGTAACCCCAGGAGGTAACTAGTTCTGTCTTGTCATTCAGGTAAGAAAACAGGATTAGAGAGGTTTAGTACTTTGCTTTAAGGTCATATCTGGGAGGAAAGCCTAAGTGGCCTCAGGCCCACAGCTGTCACCTTCCAAAGACAGTGTTTTCTTTCCACCTGTTAAGTTGGTCCTTTGCATTGTATACTTTTAAAATGTTTTGAATTCAAGTTTAAAAAAATCTGAATTGTTGAATATGATTTATATTTTCAAGATTTCTATAGGTGTTATTGTCCTGGAAGTAATGTGGCTGTTTTGTAGCTAATTTTCTTGTATTTTATACTCTAGAGATCAACAGTAGGACTTAGACTCTGATTAATTTTAGTTATGTATTAGAACCTGGTCTAGGATATAAATAGTGAAATGTTGGAATGAGTGTAAAGTGTTTTTTCTTCTTTATAGTATGTTCATATTTTGACCCTAAGTCTTCTAACTAAGCCTTTTGAGAAGCAAGCAGCCTGATGCCCTTGTTTCTTCTAGAATGTTTTAGATAAATTTTAGTTAAGTGAATAATGAGTATGCAATAGTGGTAGCAGCAGTAATAATTATGGTGGCAGCAGCTACCATGGATTGAGTTTTAGTAACTAGTAGGGCTGTGCCTCAATTTCAACCATCCTATCAAATAGGTGGCAGTATTCTTATCTAATTGGTCAGAACATGAAGGCTTGGAAAAGTAAAGTAACTTGCCCAAGGTGACTTATAACTAATTGAGCTAGGATTTGAACACAGGCCTTTTATTTTTGTTTTTTACTCTAAAGCTTGTACTAATAAATAAATTTTATTTATTTAGTAGTGCTGGGGATGGAACCCAGAAGCCCAAGGGCCTTGTATATGCTAGGCAAGTGCTATACCACTGAGATGTACCTCTGACGCAAACAAAATCCTTCATAGCCTTTGCACGTTAGCTAAGCCCTCTACCAAGGCTTTACATGTTTTAACAAGCATGTGATCAAAATCATACTTTATGACTTGTGGTTGCTAAGATACACTAAGTTCCTTCTCCCAATTTAAAAACAAAGAACTGTTAGAAGGAAGGTATGAGTTTCATTTTTAGTATATTTGAAGATAATATAAATTATTGTTTACACATTTGTATTTACCAAAATAATGTATGTAAGTAGACTGAAAACCCAGAGTATTTTAGTGTAAAAACATCAATCTCTTGTCCCTACAACTTTCACTAGTGACAGCCATTTCACCTTTTTAAGATGCTGTTTTGATAGTACTTACTTTTATTTGTATCAGTGGCAAAATTGCTATTGATTTAGGGGTGTGAGTGTGTGTGTGTGTGTGTGTGTTGATCCCAAGCATGCTAAGCTTTACCGGGCTGTTAACCCCCAGTTCTAGATGTGCTCTTTTGACTTCCGCAATAGAAGCCTTTGACTGCCTTCAGAAACTCTTAGGTCATGCCAGTTCCTTTTACTCCCTATAGTACTCTGTTCAGTGTGGAGGCTGCACATGGTCTTCCTGGGCATTTTCTTTCTTGGTGCTCTATTGGGTGAATCTCCTAAGTTCTCTTGGTTCATTCCTGTTTTGAAAGGCAAATGTTAAGACTTCTAGCTCATGTGTAAATGCCCTTATCTAATTGGTCAATAATTGAGTACCGAATTCTGGCTTGGAAATCATTTTGTCTAGCCTTGTGAAGGTCCTGCGGTCTTGCTCCATAGATAATCCAATGTCTTGCTTGCTGAATGCTTTTTTTTTTTGTAGTAGTGGGAATTGAACCCAGAGCTTTGCACTTGCTCTGCAACTTGAGTTTGGTGCTCAGCCCTTTTGTATTTATTTTGTTTTTGAGATAGACTCTTGCTAAATTTGCCTGGGCTGGCCTCAAATTCAAGGTTCTCTTGCCTCTACCTCCCTAGTAGCTGGGATCATAGGTGCACTCCACCACACTTGGCTCTTTTTTTAAGCACATATTAATTGTATAAAAGGGTTTCATTGTGGTATTTCCCATCCTCTCTATTATTGTTTCTAATCCTCCCCACTTTTTTCTTACTTTTTTTGAGGGGTAGCAGTACTGGGGTTTGAACTGAGACCTTCAAGTTTGCTAGGCAAGTGCTCAATGCTTGAGCCATGCCCCCCAGCTTTACAGTTTATAATGGTTTTCATCACACTACTTTCGTAGGTGCATATAATGTACCTCGATCGTGTTCTTCTTCCCATCATCCTCTCCTCTCTAAACTGTTTCTCTGAACTGAATGACTCCTCTTTTCCTTTAGGAAGTTTTTAGGTCTCTATTTATCTGTAGCATACTGAAATTTCAGTCATCTGCCTTACTGAGTATCTTTTTAACTTCTTTCTGTTGGATCCTTACCAGAGCTTTTGAGTCTTCGATTGTGTTGTCATGTTCTGGGAAATGCTCATCTAGTATCTTGTCTGCTCTTTCTCTGTGGCATGTTTCTGAAATTCCTGTAGGCAGTTTTTTGTTTTATTTTTTAATGCTGGGGATTGAATCTAGGTTTTTATTCTTGAATAAGAACACGCTCTATCTTTACCCCCTAAGCAGTCTCTAACAAGTTGCTTTAATTCTAGGCTCATTTCCTATTTTTTTTTCCAACAGGAGATGGGCTGCCTCTCCCTTCTCCTTTCAGAGATCAAACCCAGAGCCTTGCACATTCTAGGCTCTATCTGAGCTGCATTCTCAGGTCTGAGTTTTTAGTTATGATTATCATTTTAACTGATAGCTCTCTGAACGTTCCTACTGTGAACATTGTGTGTGTGTGTGTGTGTGTGTGTTGGATATAATAGCATGTATTATTTCTCTGATAACACTGGGTTTTGTTTTTATTTTCCAGTACTAGGATTTTGAACTCAGGGCCTCATGATTGCTAGGCAAGCACCCTGTCACTTGAGCCATACTTCCAGCCATTATAGTAGTTTTTTAAATTTGTTTTGTTTTAGTTTTCTTTTGCTTCCTGCATTGTCTCTGATTCTTGTGAGTTTCTTTAATTTTTTTCTCCTCCCTCCCTTCCTTCCTTCCATCTAAAACTTTATCTTTCTGTGCTCTAAGCTTTTCTTAAATATTGGATGATGTTTGTTCTTTATTCCTGTTTAAGAGAGCAGTACTAAAAAATTGACAGAAATTCTACCGTCTGAAGTTTATTATCTGGTAAATTTCAGTGTAGGGGAAGGCAGAGACTTTTTTTTTTAATTGTAGAACCCCAACTGTAAGTATCAGTGAGCCTTTCCTTTTGGACTGTGCCAGAGCTAGAGTCTAGGAGGTAAGTAAAGGACGGGGACGGTAGCTTAGGACCATGTGTTCCTCTTCTAAGGGTGGCATCCTATGCCCACTCTGTACCTGGTGCCCAAGTCCAGAGTCTCTCTGGAGAGGCATTCTCAGGATTATTGCCTGGATGGCTAGGGGGACTAATGACTCTTCTTAAAGACTTTCAGAAAACTCTGCCAGTATTTCCCCTACCTTCAGAATTACTTTGTAACCTCAGTTTCTCAATCTTTCCAGTATTCTTGTGGTAGGAGTTGGGTTGCTGGGTTTTATTTCTGTTAGCATATGACAAAGCAAAAAAAGATAAATTTTAGTTACTTCATGTCTACTTGGTGTACAACCTTCAAAGTGTGTTAGCATCTCATCTGCTTTTGTCTCTGCTACCATTCCATTCTCTTTGCTCTGTAGATTGATGCCTTGTTTTCACCTTAACTTTCATTCTCTGTATTTCAGGAGGGAGCAGAGTTAGCCATTATTGGGAATAGCAAAGCAGTTAGCCTGGGTGATGATCACATTACTTCCCTATCTTTGTCTTCATATATGTGTGTGTGTGTGTGTGTGTGTATATATATATATATATATTTTTTTTTTTTTTTTTTTTTTTTTTTTTTTGGTCAGGGCTGAGGGTTGAACTTGGCCTCGTGCATGGTAGGCTGGTGCTCTACCACGTGAGCCATACCTCTAGCCCATTTTGCTTTGGTTATTTTTGAGGTAGGGTCTCACTTTATGCCAGGGCTGGCTTGGACCTCCTTTTCCTGTCTGTGCTTCAATGTATAGCTGGGATGATAGGGATGATAGGTGCATGCCACCACACCCAACCATTGGTTGGGATGGGGTATCTCAAACTTTTTGCCTGGGCTAGCCTCGAATCTGCATCCCAGATAGTAAGGATTAGAGGCTTGGGCCACTGTAATTGGCCTGCTTTCTTCCTTTCTTTGCCTTTATTTACGTTTTAATTTCACTGTTTTGTCTACAACTTGAAAAATAACTCTCCTATAAATCGTAGTGTTTAGTGACCAGAAATATTCTCTAAAAATGAATT